ATTCCTGACCCCAATGAATGCAGTGGGCACTAGACCCTCTGCCCTTCCTTGACATGTATAAGGAAGGATGATGAAATACATCTTCCAAACAGAGGATAATGCTTGCTAGAAAGGTCAAAATTGACACCTGTGGTGAGATTCCAAGGGAATATACTGTGGCTTCTTTCAATCCCCAGCCTTAGTCCTGTCTGACTAGTATAACATCAGCATTCTAATAAGGAATTTGCAGTAAGGATCATTCAATACTCCTTCTGTTGGTAGGTCTTGAATCTGTATAATTTCCATAAGTTTTAACCTCTATGGCTATTGAAGGCCAAGAAACGTGTTTATATCTGTCTATGCATCTCAACTTTATAAGTATTCTAACTACTTCATAGAAACTCATAGTCATTTAAATATAGTTTAAGTTACTGTATTTGCTCACTTTGGGCAACAAGACTCTTCCTGTAGATACTTAATGTTCCCATCACTGACTTCCTTCATCACTCACCTCTGCTCTCACCACTGTGCTTACTAAGAGCTTGAGGTATCAGACATTCACCTCCACTATCACCTATCAGCTTTGTATGCAGACTATGCACACAGTTTTGCTTTGTGCGTTAGTGAATTGTTGCCTCAGACAGTGAACTTTAAAAAGCATATCCTATGAACAGAACTTAGACTCATATGTGAGTGTCATATAAAGGCTCAATAAAAGTTTGCTGTCTAAAAGAGGGGACTGAGAATACAGAGGTGAGATTATGGCCAGGTCTTTGTTGTGTATAAAGTTGAGACCCCCATATGGCCTAGACATATTAAAACAAATTAGGTGATAGACCTGTGTCCCCACAAAATATTCTGAATAAATATGTGCATTTTATGAATATAAGTAGACATTTGCATGTTCGGCTATATTTTATTTAATTATGAGGTCAGTTGATAAGTCAAATTTAGTTTAAAAGACACTGTGACAGCGTCTCTGAGCTACACCTGGCTCAACTGAATTAATGAAATGCCTTCTGGTGCTGCTAGACTGACACTTCTCTTTACTCGGTTCACAAAAGCTTAAGCCTGATGAAGACAGGGGTCACGTTCTGCCTTACTATTACTGCCCGGTTCACACTGGGGTATCTTGAAATAGTCTGTGTTCAGTACATCTTGTTGGATGAACAAATAAACCAACACATCAAATTTCACTTAAATTTATGCTTAGTAAGCTATAAGACAGTGCAGTGAATGCAGGGAAGAAACCGGCAATCAATCAGTTGATATTTTTCTCCTTTTCTGCTTTCTTGGAGGAATGATGTCATTAAGAACAGTATTTTCTGTCCTCCAAAGCACACCTAGCGACATGCTATTCCTTAATCTGTGGCATCTTCTAATACATTATTGTAAAGCATCGTTTTTCAGTATTTTCAAATAGCGTATGTTGCTATGGTTGCTTCTTTATATATGTTTTCCTTTCCATTAAACGTATTTTACTGAACATTGAAGATGAGAAAATGTTTCAACATTTGTGTTTGAATCTTTTACTACGCTTCGTTTATGTAGGTGTGTGGTAGGTAAAGATTCACCAATATACTTCTCTTAAATGCTCCTTATTGAAAAGCATCTTTCTGATGCTCCTGTGCAGGGTGTAACCCACTATAATACTGAAATAAAAATCTAATACGGTCTGCACTGGAATTAATCAGTACCTTTGCATTAGTATTGAGAGACCTATTTAATGGGCTTTTCAGGGATGTTTATGTATGGTCAGGTCCTTAAGGAAAATAGAGAAAGAAAAAAGTGGAGACATTGTCTCTAAAGGCTTCTACTCTTTACGGTCATTTATGAACCAGAGATAACCATTCTGTGGGCTATAGAAAGAGGAGAATTGTCTTTGCAAACAGATGCTCTTCAGAGCTGAATTCTATCATGATAGGCACAGTGCAATGTGCCCTTAGGAAAGAGTACATGTTTATATACAGTTCAAAGGACTGCTTCAAAATTAAAGATAGGTTTCTAGGGGACTATATATCTGTAAATTGAATCATCAGGGCTTTTTTTTTAGCCTACTGAGGATAATTTATGATACTAATAATTAATTTTTCAAGACCATATTAGTAAAATACTTCCTATAAGTTATGCGTATAATTTCAGTGATCTCATTAGTAACTTCATCTCTTATAGACACTAATTGACACTGTTTAATCTCATATTTTTGTCTTACTACTAGCTGTATTACAGTTACAATCTGTAAATAAAAAAATATTTTATTGGATCACTTTTGCTAGCACCAACTGTGTTCTTATTGCCTGAACAGATTATTTATTTATCATTCAGTTCTGTGAAGAAATAGAAATATAAATAAGAAGGAGTTAAAAACTTAAATGCTTGCTGTAAATTTAAAAGAACACTATTAAATTTTCTTTGTATTAAATTCAATGACAATAGACGGATTATGCTAAGTGTCTGTTAAAGAAGCAGATGAAAAATGAATGATTTTTTTCCTTCGGTTAAATATGGTGCTAAGTGGTATGCATAGCATTAAAAGCAAATTACTTCCCACTTCAGCAATCACAGCATGAGCACTTTCTATTGGAAGCTCTGCTTCCGCTCTTCCTTGGTCCTCGGTTTTATTAAATAAATCAACTGATAATGTTTGGATAAGCAGAAGGAACTGCTTTGATGCCATTTGGCATTTCTGTTCTGTAAGGGTCCATTCAAGATGTCTCCGAAATGGCATTTTCTATATATTTCAGTCACTAAGGATTCTCATACCAATGCACATATAGTCAGGTTCATCTGCTGTAGACATGTATGTGAAACTCAAGTTCCTTCTATGACATCCCTTCCAGGTGGCCATCTTAACTAACACTTCTAGAGATGGAAAAAGCAAAGAGCAACTTC